CCAAAACTCTCATTTTTATTTTTATTTTTTAAAAGTGTGGGAACACAAAAAATACAAAACAATTTGATTCCGAATTCACCCAAGAAAATTTTGGTTTGAAACAAAAAAATACTAAATTTTTTCTCTTTTTCACTTTTTTTTTGTGTTTGGCAAATAAAACAAAGAAAATAAGAAAAATCTCCTATTAAATTTTATTTTATTTTTGTTTTTTTATGGAAAATTCATAAACAACTTAAAAAAAACATTTTTTGAAAATGAAAATCTTGGACGACCCTTAGACAACTCGAACAATATGTTGAAAGATAATTTCATTGGATGAATTTTTTTCTTTTTTTTTTTTAGAAATTTTAGTTTTCTTACCATTATTTTAACCCTTAAATACAGGTTGTATCAAAGTGTTTTTCTGGTGTCCTAATTTAGGTAATTTTTATAAAAGGATTCGGAATGGCTCTACATAGGGCTGGTCCCCCAAGGTTCATTATATACTGAGTTAAGATCTATATGTCTAAAGGTTCTCATATTATTTCTCACATCATCGTCTATTATAGATTAGTAAAGCACTTCAATCTCTCCCATTGTAGGTTGAAAATAGAAAGGATTAAATCTGAGTAAAAGTCATTTGTTAGCAACTACGAAGTCTATAGCTACTTTACTTCATCCTAATAGTGACAAAACTCAGATACATAACTTATGCATGCAATACACAAAATGTGTGTAAAAATATATATCAATTAAAATAATATAAGAGAACAATGACACAATCAAAGTAGAATACTAACTAACATGCAATATTTTAAAAAGAATTAATATAAAGGAAATTAAAATTAAATATTAACTAAAACAACTAAATCCAAAACTTTGAATAACGTATGATTATTTTTTGGCCTGACTCTAAAAAATATATTTAGTAGAGTCGCCAAGCTATCATAATGTGCGAGTTTGTAAACCCAATTGCAAGATGTAAAATTTTTTAAATTAAAAAAAAAGGAGTCATTACCAAATTTTTTTTTGTAAGTGTGATTGGACACTTAAAACTTTATCTTTTTGATAAAACCCTAAAAGTAGTTTAAAGTTGATTAAAAAGAAATATTTGATCTTTGAAAATAAAATTTGATTATAGAGTTCAGTTACACATAGGAAAAGGTTTTGTACCTTAAACATCTGTTTAAAAACAATACCAACTAATTATGTATTATCTTTTGGTATTGGATGAAAATGGTTTCAACTTGACTTTTAATAATAATTCCTTTCACTTTTTTTTTTGAAACAAATCAATTTTATTTTATAAAAAAAACCTTATTTAGAAATATTGTGAAAATCTTTAGGTGAAGGAATTATTTTAAAATTCTCCAATATCTAGGTAGAATTTAAAGATAAGTTTTTTCACCCTAAAATCTACTATGACATTATTTTAAAATGAAAATAATATTATTTATAGATGATAATTGCCGGTGACTAAAGAATTATTTTCCTCAAAATGTTATTTTAGCTTCCATCAAAATGTTATTTTAGTTTTATTTCAAAATCTATGTTTTTTATAATAATATTTTCCATGAACAACATTTTATGCAAAAAAGAGATAATGATACCACAATTAGCAAGGAAAAATAAAGATTAAAGACAAATGTAAGGGAGATGAATGAAAAAAAAATCTAAAAATATAGATGTACCAGTGGATGTCTTGCATGATGATAAGATAAAAATTTGAAATCGGGTCATTATATACAAAGAGACCATCCAGACTATCCAACTTACACTACTAAAAAATGGAGTTTTAGCAACTATAATTTATAACGATTGAAAATATCATTGCAAAATATCACTATATTTGCAACAATTTTTCATTGTCATTTCTTATTTGATTTTTTTAATATTTTATACAATGATAATTTTTGTTGTTGCAAATTCCTATAAAATTGGTAACAATAAAAAAGTCATTACGAAATCATATTATATTTGCAACAACTTTTCATTTTCATTACCTAATTAATTTTTTAAATATTTTACACAATGACAAAAAAAAATAGTTGCATATTCATAGAATTTTCATAACGACGAAAAAAGTTATTTTGAAATATTATTAAATTTGCAATGACCCTTTTTAGTTGCTATCAAATTAATTTTTTTAATATTTTATATAACAAATGAAATAATTGTTATGAAATCTATATTATTTTTTCAAAGACAAAAAGTTGCCATTGCAAAATCTTCTCCAATTTGTAACGATTGAAAAGTTGTTGTGAAATTATATTATATTTGAAGTTAATAGGACCCATTGTCCTTAAACTTTGACCTAAATTATATTTTAGTTCTTAAACTTTAAAAGTTCTAATTAGATCCCTTATTACTCAAAATTATCTTATTTTGATCTTTCTATTTATGAAATCATCTAAATTGACGATAAATGTTAGTTGGTACCAAGTGATAACATTAACTAGCATCTCATGTGACAAATGAGGGACCAAAATAGAATTCTCTCAAAGTTTATGGATAAAAAACAAAATTATCTAAAACATTTTATAAATTTCATAGATATTGTATAAAATATTAAATTTAAGATTATATTTTTATATTTTTTGTTGTAATATAATTTATTAGATATACTTTTTAATAGAAAACAGATTTTTAAAAATTCAAATTAAGTTAAAAATTCAATTTTTTTTTTAAATTCAATATCATTTTAAAAATAAAAAATTATTTTCTATTAAAAATATTATTTACTCATAAATCATAATAAAAATGTCATTTTCTATCCATAAAATATATTTTTTAAAATATTAAATATTTTTTATTTTCCTTTTTCAAATATGTTTTATAAAAAGTAATTCAAGAAAAAAATGACTTTTATATATTTCAAATATATTTTATAAAGTATTATAATCTAAAATATTTTTCAATCTTTATTATTATACAATTTATCAATAAAATAATATTTAAAATAGAAAATAGATTTTAAAAAAATTAAAATTAAGTTGAAGTTTTCAAAATAATTTTGTTAAAATTACATATCATTTTAAAAAATTATGTAAAAATTTTTATATTGATTTAAGAAATTAAATAAAAACTATGTATCATGTTAAAATATTGTGTAAAAATTTTCATATCATTTGAAAATTAGATTTATTAATCTATTAAAAAATATAAAAACTTTATATTCATAAAAATTAAAAACTATAATTTAAATTATTTTTTATTTTTTATTTTTTATAAAATGTATTTTATAAAATGTATTTAAAAATGAAAAATAAAAGATATTTAATATTTTAAAAAATAAATTATTTGGATAGAAAATAATATGTTTTGTTATGACTTTTAAGTAAAATAATATTTTTAACAAATAAAATTTTTGTTTTTAAAATGCATTAAATTTTTAAATAGGAATTTGAAAATTTTAACTTAATTTTAAGTTTTGAATATCTATTTTTTATTTAAAATAAAAATTTGTCTAATAAGTTATATTACGATAAAAAATATGCAAATATAATTTTAAATTTAATATTTTTATAAGACATGTACGAATGTATAAAATTTTGATATAGTTTGTCTTTGATCCCTAAAGTTTAAGAGAATTATATTTTGATCTTTCATTAACTATGTCATTACGTGGTGTCAACTAGCATTTGCTATCAGTTTAGATGATTCCTTAGACGGAATGACCAAAATAGAACAACTTTGGACAATTAAAAATTCGATTTGAATTTTTTTAAGTTTAAGGATTAAAGTAGAATTTAAGTCAAAATTTAAGGATTATGGATTCTATTAATCCTTATATTTGCAACAACTTCTCATAAATGTTGCTTTATCAAAATTTTTTAATATTTTATATAACAATTACTTTTGTTGTTGTGTATTCTTATTAGCTTATACATGAAGATGATTTTTTTTTTCTTTTAATGTGAAGGCCTTTAAGTAGCAATTAGAAAAAATTTCCACGTAACTAAACTTAAATTTGCAAATATCTCTTTGAGGTCTGAAACAAACTTTACTATATATATATATATATATATAAAAGGAGTGATTCATTTATATTATTATAGGTATTACATTTTTTATGATTAAAATGATTAAATGTAAGTGTTGTGAAATTAATTTTGATCTAAAGACTAAAAAAATTTATAACTCTTATATTAATATAATGTATTCCTACTATATATTTAAAGAAGGAAAATAGAACAAAAAAAAAGGGGTTATCATTTAAAATTTTTTTTGGTAAGAAAAAAATTTGAGAATAGATAAGTTATTCAGTCTTTCAATTTAAGATAAGATGTGCTATATTTAACAGTTTAAAATAAGTGACTATAGTTCATGCATTTTAAGATGATCTCAACAAGCGATCATCAACAAGATTTGAATCCAAAATTTTTTTGTCAAGAAAGATAACTTTTAATTAATTAAGTTAACTATTTATTGGTTATCATTTTAAAATTTTATATCTTGATCTTTTCCTATTTAATAATACTACATAAAACAAATATAAAACAAATACTAGAAAAGATGTGAACCAGCATTTTCCCACTATCAAAAACAAATAATTTAGTATATATAGCATCACAGTGTGAAAACATCTCTAAATTCTTTACTGAGTTATAACAAATCATTTAAGGTTTCATGCGATTTGTTTTTTCATTTTCTTTTTTATCCATATTTGATTATATTATGAATTAAAACAATGGATTAATAAATTTTAGTTAAAGTAAACTTAATGAATTATGACCTAAAATTATATTTTTTAATCTAAATTATGATTGGTTATGTAAATAAATATTAATATTACTTTTCAAAATATCATATTTGATAAGCTTTCTGTGCAATTAAATTGATACTAAAATTAATTTTGTAATTTATTAATTTTTTGGCCATTTATTAATTAGTCTTTTATTTTAGTTCATATATAAATTAAAAATATAAAAAATTTTATATCGTAGCCACGTGCCTAAGCATTGAAGGTCGTAAAACTTGGGTATATCTTTTTCCCATTCTTCTTTCTCCCCAAAATCACAACCGCCCACACAGCACACGCCTCTCTCTAAGTAGTTCGTTCCCCTATCTCTCTCCTTGGCCGGCAAGTCCCGTCTGCCGACTACCAACACTTCTCATTTATTGTTGCTTTCCTTCGTTATTTCCTTTGCTCCCTAAATCATCGAGAGACACACCCACCATCCCCTAGGAGACTCGATTGCCTCCCCTTCCTTAGAGACGACAAGTACCTTATTCCACATCCCCTTTCCCGTCAGCGAGCTTTGCCCCGTCTTCCTCTGTCGAGTCTCTCCCTTTTCTTTATTTGATTCCTTTTAAAATTATTTCATTGTTATTATTTTTGCTTTTAATTTTTTTTTTTACAGAACTTTTCTTTCATTTTCATCAACTTTGAGGTAATTTATTTGCTTCGAGTTTAATTTAAATTATATTAGGGTGTGTTGCTTTCCGGACTTTGAATAATAGAAAAAGTTTATATTCTACATTTTAATTATTTTTTATTTTGCCATATCAATTATTCGATTTTTGTTTCATGGGTATAGCATATTTCTTTGTTTCACAATAATTAATTAACCAATCAATCTAGAAAAAGCCAGACTATGAATTTTTTTTTTTTGTTTTATGGGTATATGTGTTTTTTGTGTATTCTATCAAATATTTGTAATTTTGTTGGCTTGATATGAAAAATGAGCATAATTGCCGCTTGCAGGTGAAACAAACTGTGGAAAATGTTGATGAAGCGTGAGGCATCTTCCAAGCGCCAATACGGTAATGCTTGAATGTTAATCCTTTCTCCATAAAACCTCTCTTTCTTAAAAAAATCTAACAACAAATTTCACTACCTGCAGAATCCAGAAGATTTATGGATTAGTCATTCCCAGGTGGTTATGGAAAGATTTTAAGAGAAGAATTAGAAAGAAGGGATGTTTTAGCGTCATTCTCCATTTTATCTTGTACTTGTATCTGATATTTTACAGCACATTGTTCCATTCTGATCCCTTACACGCTCAGTATATATGTGATTTTATATCTCATTACTCTTGTAATTTGTAGGTTCTTGATAATGTGAGAAAGGATAAGTCTAAAACATTTTAATCTTGTAAAACCATTGGGATCAGGTCAGTGACATTGGCAGCTTTGTCTAATTACTCTGCTTCTATTATACACTCAATTTTGTAGGATAATTAATGTATATTCTTTCATACACATTTTCATGTCAGCTCTTTTTTTTGGTAGTGTGAATTTGGTGAAACTGACTTATACTCTGCGATGAAAGCTATGGATAAAGGTGTTATGCTTAACCCAAATAAGGCATTTGAAATTGCATTGATTATGAGTGGTAGGTAAGCTTCAAACCCAGATGGTCATTTGTTTGCTATCTAATGATAAGTCTAGTAATGCATATAACTATGGTACTAGGACCAAGAGAGGAGCTCCCCTTTAGCTTAAGTCTTTAATGTTTTAGTCTGTTAGTTCCGTAATGGTTAACATGCAATGGCCTTTGATTAAGTTTGCTAGAAAGTTTAAGATAATTAGAATTTTACTAGTCATTTAGTTCCGGATTATACGATTGAATTGTCCTTGAATTCATTTATATTTGATTTAAGTTCATATTTTGTTATGTAATGTTTATGCTAAATAAAGTTTTTTTTTTTTTAATTTTTTTTTCTTTACTAGCAGTAGCAGACTTTCAATTATTGGCACGGAAAGAGCTTCTCTATGAACAAAATGATTATCAAGAAAGCTGTGGAAACTAGAGTCAAAGAGTTGTCTTGCTTCCTTTGGGTCAACATGTCAAGCAGCAAGAGATGCTAGAATGATCTTCTTTTCTGGCAATATTATTCTTTTCTAAATTCTTTCACAATTCTGTAAGTGAAAGCTATTGTTCTAGTTTCTTTCACAATTTTGTTGGTGGAAGTTACTGATTTTTCTCTTTTAATTTGCGTTCCGTTCTTTTTGTTGGAATCTATGATTAAAAGAATTATTTGCCTACTTTGTAGTAAAGATCCTAATTAACTTGATTGAACTTCAATTTTGTTGTAGGGTTGAGGTAGAGTTTTCGCAACATTTTTCGGTAAAAATGAAAACCTTTTCCTACAGGATCTACTCAAATACCCTCTGCTGCCTTTGATTGGGCTGTTGAAGACTCATGGGAAGCTTGTTCTTGTTGGTGCTCCAAAGAAACCGATTAAGTTACGAACCTTTTCAAAGCAGATGTCAAATATGGATTTGTCAAATACTGACTTTTCATTGACACAACAATTTCAAGTTTATATCGACTAGGCCACTTGTTACTTTAAACTTAAGAAGACTGTAATTGATAATAAATAAATATATTACCTTTCAAATTAATAATATTTTCTAATTTTTTAATATTTGTATGAGTTTTGCAAATTCTTTGTTGTATTGAAATAAATATTTTAAAGTAAATAAAATTGCTGTTAAATAGTAGTGTACTATTTATAAGGACAAAGATATTGTCAAAAGTTATTTGTAACAATAATATTGGTTATTAATTTTTTTTTTAAATTATTGCAATAAAAATTAAAAATGATAAAATTGTGGTCTTGTAAGAACTTTGGTAACAATAATATTGTCATTATTAAATTAAATATTGCAATAAAATAAGTAATGTTGCAAAAAAATTTAATAAACTTAAAAAAAATTGTTACATAAAAGTTTTAGTAATCAAATGTGGTTGTTAAAAAAGATTTGATAACTACATTAAGTTGTTGTTGAAAATATAATTTATTTATTAACAACAAAAAATTGTTACAATAAATGTTTTTTAAAATGATTTTTTATATGATGAAAATTGTTATGTATATTTTTAACAATGGAGGTACAAGCAATGACCTTGCAATGAATTTTTATTATTATGAAAAGATTTTCACAATGATAAATTAATATTTTGCAATGACATTAAGTGTTGCTAAAACAACTTTTTCTAATAGTGTTATAGGCAAAGTTTAAATACAACTATTTATATTTAAAATCATGTTTTTATTACGTTTCTTTTGTTTGATTTTATTATTGTTTTTGGTTACGGAAGCATGAGAAAAATATAATGAAATAAAATTTTCTAAGTACCCCATCTTTAAATGGCATTCAAGAATAGATTATTTCATATGATATTTTCATACAAATACTTTAAATATTGGGATGGCTTTAGGTGTTGAAATGCGTTTAAGGTTTTGGGATTTAACTTGTTTTAGGGTTTAGGATTGAATTTAAGTCTTAGGTTAGATTTAGGATTAGGGGTTAAGTTTAGGGTTTAGGGTTTGGTTTAGAGCTTAAGATTTGGTTTAGAGTTAGGGTTAGGTTTTAGGCTTTTCGGCAAGGGTTAGGGTTTTGGTGAGGTTTAGGGCTTAAGGTAAGTTTACATTTTCGAGTAGGTTTTAGGTAATTTAAGGTTTAAAGTAGTTTAAGGTTTCAGTCTAGAGTTAGGGTTTAAGGTATTTTAGGGTTTTGATTTAGGGTTACGGTTAAGATTTAGGGTTAAGTTTTAAGGTCTTTTAAGGTTTCGATTTAGGGTTTAGGTTTAAGGTATTTTTAGGGTTTTGATTTAAGGTTAGTGTTTGGGTTTTTTAGGGTTTTGGTTTAGTATTTTTATGGTTTCTATGATTTTTATGAACTTTTTAAAAAATCTCTAATATCAAAACGAACTTTTGAAGTAAGCCAAAAAACCCTGATTTTATTCTCTAATATGATTTTAATATGTAAGTAATGTATGACAAATACTTAATGCATGAATGATCAAACACTAAAAATGCCGTGTAGCCATTTTATCAAACACTTGAGAAACTATTAAAAATTTACATTTTTATTTATTCAAACACTTAACAAACATTATAAGCATTGAACATCAAATCCAAAAGCTAACACATATCAGGCACACATCAAACAATTAAAGAACTATCACATATTTAAAATAAAACTTTTATCAAACACTTAGAAAACTAACAAAAGACAAATCAACAATCTAAAACTTTTATGTAAGAAAACTAAACAAACATAAATCAAACCATGAAAACAAGATAATCACAAGACCAAATCATCAAAAACACATCTAAATCATAAATCAAAGTATATAAATCATTAGAAATGGGAGGAGGCTCTAGGACTAAAGAACTAACATGGAGAAGAACTAAGAACTATATGAAATGGAGATGAAAAATGCATGAAAAGAGTAAGAGATATACCTAAAGAGAGGATTTTTCTTTATTAGGGCTTTTCTTTTCAAAAGAGATTTCTTAATGGTGATATTCTGTTTTGGAAAACCAGCCTTTCCACTACCTTACTTGTATCTATTTAAAGAGCCAAAACACCTCATCAACTATTAGATCAATATACATACAAGGGTTATCATTTTATCTTTTTCCTAAAAACTTGGTGGCCAAAGCTTTCAATATAAGCCATATGATCATTGGACCATTAAATCTAATGGTTCTAAAAACTTACATCACACAATTTCGTTGGTAGTGTAGCTATCCTAGTGAGAAAAGACCAATTTACCATTGTTTATGATTAAGGCCTTTTTTATGATCTTACTAAAATTCTATGATCCAATATTTATTTTCATGATTTTAATGTGCCAAATTTATAAAATAATAATTAATTATGATATGGAGCTTTTCATGAAAAATTGACACAAAAAAAGGCCAAATTATGAAAATGCCTTTAAAGGGCATTTTGGTAATTTCACATCTTTTAAGGTCTAATCAAAATTTTTAATGTATCAAAATTAATAAAATAATATTTAAACATGATCTAAAGTTTATCACAAAAATAACCTGTAAAAGACTAAATTACGAAAATACCCTTAAAGGGTATTTTTATAATTTTACCCTTATGAGGTCCAACAAGATTTTTAAGAGTCCAAATCAGAATTTTATTACTAATGAGTCTCAACAGTCCTAGTCAATCACATATTTCAAATGTTTGACATGTGTTTAACCAAAGGGTATTTTGGTTATTTCAACTCAAAATATTATTTTTTCAAAGATTTTCTTTCTAAACATAAGGCTTTGATAGAACTTGAGCAAATAAGTGATTTAACTAATTTTGACAAGATTTACTTTAAAATCTTAATGGATCGAATGACTTGGTTCTATTATCCCAAAAATGACCCAATTTTAATGAATTTCAATCAAGTTTGATTAAGTTAATTTTTAGGTTGACCTTTTGACTTTTATCTTGAACTTTACTACTTTTTTTGTATCAACCTAAAAATCAATTTATTCAAAAATCATGAAATTTCTATAAAGCTTGAAAATCTTGAAAAAGATTTAAGTCTTAATTTTCAAAGCATCATAATTGATTAGAACTTATCTAAACAAAATTAGGTGTTTATAATAATTGGATTGCAATTTCTTGACAATGAAAATAAAAAAAATTACAATCCCAACACAATTCTTTATTTTTTTATTTTATTTAAAAAAGAAAAAAAAGATATTTTAAAAAAAGCAATGAAAATAGAAAATTTTTTTGATACTTGAATACTCGTAAGTTTAGAACTTATTAGATTAGGTTATATAAAATAAAATATTTAATTAATATTAATCACTAATATAGGAATGTTATGAATTATTTTAAGACTATAGGATTTATGTTATATTGCAAATATAATCTAAGCTTATATATATATATATATATCTATTTAAATAAAATTATTTAGCGTGATATAAATTATGCAATTTATTGTAAATTTTTAATTGACGCATGAATTAATTTTTTTTGATGAAATAATTTTATTTTTAATATTATAATTTGAATGATAATTTTAATTTATTATTATGTTATTATGATTGAAAGAATACGAGAACACAAACATTAATATATTTTAAGATTACAAGAAAATTAATATATGTTAAAATATAAAATAAAATATAAATATTTAAAAGAAAATGAAAAATTATATCAATTACACTTACAACCAAGGATAGCAATTATATAGTTTTATGAATAATAAATTTTGATATAATTGATTTTGTTAATTTTAATTTTTTATTAAAATTATCATTATAAACAAAATGTAATTGTAATAACAGTAACACATATAATTATGATAATAACACATATTAAGATATGTAAGGAAAAAATAAATACTTTTAAAAATTAAAACAAAATTTATACCGTAACAACGGTAAAGTTCTAGTCATTTTATTAAAATACAAATTAAGATTATATCAAATTAGCTTGAGTTAAATTAGATTATTAAAAATTATTAAATTATCTTAATATTAATTTTTTAAATAAATAAATTTAATTATACGTGTAGCATGCGTGTTTGAAAACTAATATACAACAATTACCAATAGTCTTATTAGTAAAATATTAAATTTTTAGTACAAGAATTGAAATCTTGATGACTTACGAAAAAGACAAATGCCTCAAACCCTTCTAACCAAGAGATCCACACCAAATTCAGGCTCAATAATTAAATTCATAATTGGAGAATGTCTATATTTTGGTGAGAGCGAGAAGGTGAAGTTCGAGTGTATAAGAGCAAGAAGTATCTTGAGTTCCGCCATGGCAAAGTGCTGCGCCAAACATGAACGAGGTCCGGTGCCAAATGGAATGTACAGATGAGGAAGCTGACATGCACCGTTGATTCCATTGACAAACCTTTCGGGGTTGAATTTATCGACATCAGATCCCCAAATATTGGGGTCTTTATAAAGTGTCATCAACATCACCCAAATACTAACTCCTTTTGGCACATGTATGCCCCCAACTTTCATGTCTTGAACTGCCTCCCGAGTCAGCATGCATCCAAGAGGGTAAAGGCGCAATGACTCATAGATCACCATTGTTAGCTGCCATATTTTTAAGTGATTATGAAGGTGTCAAACCAATTATAAAGATAAAGCAGGATTATGCACATTTTGTCCATCAAAATAATCTTTTATTTAGGTGACAAATAATAAAAAAAATCCCAGGATCATGATCCTAAAACTGATATTTTTCACTATGTATATGCCCAAGAGTTTCACTTACTGTTTTCATCTTGTGCAGCATATCGAAGCTTGGCAATTGGTCTCCAAAAATTTCAAGAACCTCAGCACGAACTTTGTCTTGCCACTCTGGATATAAGGCCAACAACATCATGGTCCAACTTGCCGTCACGGCACCATTTTCATAGGCCGGGAAGCATATGTTCTTGCAGTTGTCCACGATAAAGTTGTCTATTGCATCATGGCTTAAATTGCTGCTCTTAGCTCCTTTAACGATCATTTGTAATATGTTCTTCTCTGATACTGATTTTTCTTTCACTTCATTCAAGATTAATGTGTGGACTTCTTTCTCTAATCTCCACATTTCTCTGTTGCTCTTGGTTGGGAGTGATCTAAATTTTACAAATTCAATCATCTCAATCAGTTTACGTAGACTTTCAGTGGCTAGGAGAAAACAAAGAAAAGGGGTCGAACCTCAGTCCAGGTATCCCTTGCCAGATAACTTTCTTACATGCAATTTCTTGAAGTTCTCTGAGCTTTGAGAAAATCTCTTTATAATTGCTTCCAAAACATGCTCTCGAGATAACTTCTCCAGAGAAGTTTCTCAAATATTCATCAATCTTTATGTCAGCTACTCCACCTTCAGAGTCGATCTTATTATTCCATTCGTTTATTAGCGCGACTGCAGACTCTACCATTAGTTTCATCATACCCTACAGACCATGGATTATTGTATTTCAATGATAGGTTCAAGAACTACCAAGAAAATTGATATAAATCAGACGAAAGAGGATACAAATTTTTAATTATAGAACTTAAAATTGATTCCACGATGAACTCGGAGCTTGGTTCTGTAGGTTTATATACCACTCTTAAAAGGTGACACCTAATGGGTTTAGGGTTTAAATTTCATCGCCTGCAATCCTTTTTTGTTTAGACTGTGGCTTCTTTGTACCAAAAACAAATTGATTCCACAGTGATTATTATTGAAGACAAGCATTTAGGTTAAGAGATATGCAAAAAAATTTTCGACATTTCGAGCATACCTTGACCTTGTCCATGTAGAATTCAGGAGCCAGGACTTTCCTTTGATGTGCCCAAACTGCACCATTTGCATGTAGAATTCCCTCGCCATACAGCGGATCAAGCCCTTTTTTTTGATAGGAAGGCCTTCCCAAGTCAAAAGAACTGTATACAGTCATTTCTTTCACAACATCGGGGTGGCTCATATGCAAAACCTGTAAATTCCCCATGGAGAACATAAATGTTGGACCTGAAAAAATTGACATAAACATTTCAGAACCTTTAGAACTTTTTGAGCAGTCAGATTGTAATTGAAGGCTAAATTATAAAACTCATACCATATTGTTTTCTCCATTTATCAAGGAATGGTAAAACAATAGCAGAACAACTGTGGGTTATCGTTTGTTTTCCTTCTTGTGCCAAATTTGACTCCTTGGATCCTGTCTTCCCCATTTCCAACATATTTCCAATCAAGAATGATGGAGGAGGACCTCGAATCCCTTGCTTTTGCAGCTTAGAACGGAGCCTTTCAGGCTTTAATACCAGTGAATCATACAGATGTATGAGCATGCCGATCAATCCAACTAACAGGATTGTTGATGTGATCTTCACGAGCATAAACACCAACTCCATGGCGTTTAACTCTGTTTCCCCTGCTTTCCAACAATGGTTAATCATAGCTTTCATCTCTGTTTTCTTCTGCTTTTCTCTATCGTTTTTTTCTTTTTTTTTTAATTTTCATCAAGATTGGTTCAGAACGCATACTATTTCTTACTTGTTTATTAAAAAAGAATACAGTTTTTCTTACTTGTAATTGAAAATTATTTCTTCAGGTCGACGACGTAGTAGCTGATTATAATATCTATATGCAAATAGTCATCTGAATTAGTTAAGAACAAAAAGTATTAAAGTTATCGGGTTTTCTCTCTTTCCAAACAGCTCACCATCGATTTAGAATAATAGAGCGAAAAAAGTCAAAGCACTCTGTCTAAGACTCGTTATCCACATGAAAGCTTAGCCTGGCTCCTCCTATTTCTTCTCCAGGTCTCCAGGGAAGCTTTCAATTCGTAAAATCATCATGTGCTTTAAAATATGTTCTTTATGTGACAAGAATTAAACAAGATGATTTTAAGTGCAATTTGGTGCGATAAAAAAATTAATATGATTTAAAATTTTAACAAAAATCTTATATCAATTTAGTAAAATTAACGAAGTAAATATAAGTTGTGATAGGATATCTATATTTTATACATATTTTATATAAAATAAACAAAAATAAATATATGAATTTAGAGATATTTGAGAACCAATTGGCATAGCCATTTTATTTAATAACATATTGAAAGGGAATGCTAGTACTAGTAATTAGCAACATCAACGATTTCAAAATGAATTTAAACAATAAATCTGATTAAAGTGGAGTGATGTTTTTATTTCATAAAAGATCATAGGATTAAGACAATAGAAGTGGGGATACAAGTATATAATAAAAAAAAAGCAACAACCCTATCAGGGATAAACCTCAATGAGAGATCTTAAACCAAGTATAGGAGTAATTTTATAGTCACTAAAACCAGCAGCAAAAAACAGCTTAGCCCACTCTTCCTCCTTCTTCTCTCTTCCAGTGACTACCACCATCATCAGCATGTCGAAGAGGAGCTGCGTTTCAATGGAGGCTTGATCATTCACTTTCTTATTCTCTATCAATACCATGTCTATTATAATCACCTTCCCTCTCACCTTGTCATGGCTTGAAATTGCCTCTTTTCATCGCTTTAGAATCGTCAGGCATTCTTCATCAGTCCAGTCGTGCACTATCCACTGTTTAATTATCATTAATAGCCTCATCAAAAGACGGTTCATTTCAAATTTACAAATTTACAAATTTTCTATTTCACTCTTCCGGCACCATTAAAAGAATTAGTCTATAAATAATTGTATGCAAACTTGGCCAAATAATTAATCTGTTAAGTACTAAACTTAATCTACCAATTTTTGTTATATTGGCAGTGGAAGGATTCGAATCTGAACCTGCTTTAATATATCAAAATACAACACAAATCAATCATTGAGCTAAATGTATGATTGTCAACTACATATTTGAAGTGAATTAGTTATATTTGCACCCTAATCTTTGAACTAATGTATGCAATTGAATTAGAACTTGGAGCTTAGTCTGAATAGTTTATCTAATTTCTTAGGAGTTGAATTTCAGCAAGGGTTCGATGCCCGATGCTTGCTATTTTCTTACCCTTTCTCCTCTAAGGTTCGATATCTTTGTGTGGAAAAAATGTGTCCAATGCAATTTGTTGCAATTGGAGTTAACTTATTACAAGCAAAAATACCTAAGAAAGAGATAATGAGAATAAAGTTAGTAAAAACCTTTAGTAAAACTGCGTCTGAAGCTGTAACAGCGTCAAACGTGTCTCCTCTAACATATTCAAATTTCCACGGCCTTCCAGACCAGCAACAACACGAGGAACATCAAACACAGTGCAATCCAAATGTGGAAATGCTTCAGCAATGGCCTTGGCTATGGTTCCTGTGCCACCTCCAACATCCACCAGGGATTTCAATCCCTTAAAAGCCCCCTTGTCAATCAGAACGCTAGTAACCAATCGAGCATCGCTAGCCATGGCCTCATTAAAAATATTGTAAAGCTTTGGGTCATGGCCACCATAGTCCCAAAATGTCCTCCCATGCGCGGTATCAAATGGGGTAGGATCATCATTTTGGAACCAGATGCCTAGAAAATGCCAAGGCTTTGTTAAAATGGGATCCAACATAGCTTTCAAAAACGGTGTTACACTCAAAGGATCTCCCTTGAGCAAGAGACAAGAAGCGTTGGTAAGAACATACCCATCTTCTTCGTCATTTTTGTCAAGCTTTTGATATGTAAAGAAGCCCGAGTGAACTAGAATGCGCATGAGCCCGTAGATGCTGCATGCTTTCGAAGTGTTGATCGTCGGCAGTGCAGCAACCAGCTCCGTAAGGGTCATGGGCTTGCCATGGTTTTGATTGATATCTGGAATGCCTAAATCAATTGCACATTTTAGAGACATGGAGTTTATGAACCTGAAAATGTAGCTCCATACGTGAGCTTGAGCTTGAAGCAGCTCAGTAGCAAGCTCTCCATTGACATCGACCATAACCATCTTTTAGTCAAAGTCATTGTAATTTGCAGCTATGACCCAGCACTGCAATAAAATATGCTATTTATAGTCAATAGAGTAGTGGCACTACAAGAAAATGGAAGATTAGTGACAGTTTTGTAGCGGCGTTTCACTTACAAACACCATTAACTTTCGTGTTTTTATAAAACTTAAGGCGTTTATTATCAAACCGCCACTAAATATTCAAAAAGCGGCGTTGTTACTTATAAACGTCACCCGAGACTTGATATTAGCAGCGTTTATCGACTAAAATACCTTGAATAATTTTATCTTAAAATTTTGAGTGAATACTAAAGGCGTTTTTGGCAGAAAACGGCTTAAATAATCCAATTAAAAAAATTGATAGAGAATTATTAAAGGTGTTTTTGGCAGACAACGCCTTGAATAATCCTCTCATAAAAAAAGTATGTGATAATTGAAGGCATTTTTTGTCAAAAACGCCTTCAATGAATATCCTATCAAAATTTAAGGATCATACGGATGTTAACCATAAGGTGGTAGGTTTGATTCATTCCTTTAGCCTTTTTTGTGTTTTTGCAGGGATTATTTGTAATAGATTATTCTAGGCATTTTCTGGGTAAAAACGCCTTCACCAATCGATTTAAAAAATTTTGGAGAGAATATTGAAGGCGTTTTCGACAGAAAAACGCCCTTAATAATTCATAGGAAAAATATGAAACAGATTCTTGAAGGTGTCTTTGGTCGAAAATGCTTTCAATATTTCACACAATAAATTTTTAGGTGGGATTATTAAAGGTGATTTTTGTTAAAAATGCCTTCAATAATATTTTGTTAGGGATTATTCAAGGCGTTTTCTTGCTAAAAATGCCCTTAATAATCCATAGAAAAAATATGGAACGGATTCTTGAAGGTGTTTTTGGCCGAAAGCGCCTTCAATAATCCAATCAATAAATTTTTAGTTAGGATTATTGAAGGTGTTTTTGTCAAAAATGCCTTTAATAATCCATACAAAAAAGTTGGAACGGATTTTTAAAGGCGTTTTTGGCTCAAAACGCCTTTAATATGTCACACAATAAATTTTTAGGTGGGATTATTGAATGTGTTTTTTAGTGAAAAACACCTTTAATAACATTTTGTTAAGGATTATTCAAGGCATTTTCTTGCTAAAAATGCCTTTAGTAATCCCATCAAAAAAACTTTTTTGTTATTGTATATGTGAAGTTAGTTGTAGGTTTATGCCTAGAAAACATTTGCAATTAGTTGTAGATTTATATATCCAGAAAATATTTTGTTTATATATGTGATACTACGAATTACATTTTGAAATTTACATTGCGAATATTGTTGTATTTCAATAAATTGACAACACATCCAAAATTTGCCCTGATAATGTTGCTATATTAATATACTTTTCTCAAATAATTTTACTCAATAATATATTGAGTACACATAGTGTATTCATATAAAACAAATATATACCAATAATATTAAACCAATACCCCAATCTACAAACTTAAATTATCCATTCAACATGGCATGTTAAAAACATTATAACAATTTGTTTCTTATATATTTACATTCAACCAACAATGTCCAACCTCATGGTTTATCAATAAATAATAATACATACTAACACCTTTCTTTACAGACTTCATCCAGTTCCTCTATCGTGAAGCTTTCTTTACTCTCCCACTAAAAAAAATATCAATTTGTAAATGTTAATAAATGAGAACATAATTTAGCTTTTTATTTTTTTGAAGATATAACGAGTTTATGAAATTTATACTAACCTTGAATGGTGTGGTCATAAAATCATATAAAAGTATCTCCCGTATAAAATGAAAGACATAATATCCATATTCAGTATTTCCTGGTTGATAAGGTACCTGAAAATTAAATTAGTGGGTTTAGGAAACATTTTATCCACACAAACTCGGCATAAAAGAATAAATTTCACATTTACCAGTAATGACACCCATTTTTTCTTTGCCTTCTTATCGAATGTAGATATTACCCTAAATTGAAAAGAAAAAAAATTACTTAATATATAAATAAAATTACTTATGAAGAAACAAAAGATATATAATATAATAAAGTGTAATACCTTTTTATAAAAGTTTAAATTTCGGGTTAGGCATCGCCATTGGATTAACTGAATTAAGTAAGTATGACGTTAAGGATTTGGTATCAATCACAATAAGCACCCAATGACGACTGTAAAATAATAACAATGATATACTCAGATTAAGCATCATATTAGATTCGGGTAAGGTTGAAATAATTACTTGTATGAATATAACTTAATGCGTATTATACGGGAGCAAATAATAATCGGGGGGTCTTTTCATGCATTCAATCACATAATTACCACGATAAGCAACTATACCATTCTGCTCACTAATGAAGTTGGGGTCAACGAATCTAAATCTGTTGGTCAATTGTCTCACATTGAGCTCTTTATATAGGAAGTTGCACGATAACAATTAACAATACTAGTTA